TTCATATCTTCGGGTATAATTTTACGAAAACATCAAATAATCAAACCAGAAAGTTTACGAGAGAAAGTAGTGAACATTGCTCATGAAGGTCATTTGGGAAGGTCAAAAACGAAAGCGTTATTACGTGAAAAGGTATGGTTTCCACGTATAGATGAGTTAGTTCATGGAAAAGTTAAATCGTTTTTAGCCTGTCAGATTACAACTCCAGTCAGTGAAAAGGAACCATTGAAAATGTCAGGGTTGCCAAGATCTCCTTGGAAAGAACTAAGTATGGACTTTGGTGTAGCTCCTACAAGCACAGGTGAATATTTGTTTGCTTTGTATGATGATTTTTCCAGATATCCCATTGTAGAAGTAATAATTATAGTAATTATACCCTGTTTGGATAAGACTCTTTCGGAGTTCGGGATACCAGATACAATACGTTCAGACAATGGACCGCCATTCAATAGCAAGGAATTTTACGAGTTTTCAAAGTATTTGGGATTTACTCCTTATTGGCCACGAGCCAACGGGGAAGTGGAAAGATTTATGCATACTATCAAAAAGACAATAAAGGCTGCGATAATGGAGGGAAAAATTTGGAAGCAAGAAATCCACAGGTTCCTGCGAAATTATCGTGCCACACCTCATAGTTCGTCCAAAATCTCTCCATCTATGGCTTTATTCCGTTGACCAATGAAAGTACGTTTACTTGAAGAATGATTTCATGTAGATACAGAGGAACGAATTCGAGTACAGGATGAAAGAGCAAAATTGAAGATGAAATTACATGCAGACAATAACAGGAACGTTAAAACAAGTGAGATTAAAGTAGGTGATATGGTGTTGGTAAAGAAAGATACGATCATTAATAAACAACAAACACCCTATGATGGTAAGCCATGCGAAGTCGTGGAAAATAAAGGTTCAATGGTAACTGTGAAAAGAGATAGAAAGTTGTTTACTCGTAATTCGTCATTTTTCAAGAAGATCGAAAATGGGAAAAGTCTAGAAGAACCCATTAAGAAAAGTATAAAGGAAAAAGGACGGCGGTATCCTTTGCGTACAAGAAAAGCCCCTATTCCATATGGACAAGTTGAAAGTTAATTTAGAGATAAAAGTTATTTAACTATAAAAGAAACAATTAATATTTTCATATACGAACTTATAGACACAAAATACAAAAAAAAATATATTTAATTAGTTTGGGGAGAGGTGTAGTATAGTTATTATGTAGATTATTAGTATTTCGTACGTCATATTACGTATATTATAATTAAGTAAAGATCTGTATAGAAGTAATATGACAAAGCAACAAAAGGAGAAATCTCACAATATTACACCTTTCATTTTCAATTTCTTTGCTTTATATATTCTATTATCACACGATCTCATTTTATTCATTTTTGCTAATTATTATATTACTACTACAGAATGCTTTGAAATTAAAGTTAAGTATCAAAGAAAGACGACAAGGTTGTGCGTGTTTTTATGCTTGATGAAATTATTGAAATGTCAATTCACAAACATGTAAAATGGGATGGCCATAAAGTTTGTGTTTGTGTAAACATTGGTATTGAGATTGATGATAACTTACTGTATAATTTATTGGGTTTTATATAACTTAATGGTTTAATCATGTCATATCTTTATCAAAATGCTTTAGTAGAGTGTTGTTTGAATGTTACTAATATTTAATGCATTATTCTGAAGCATTAAAGTTTCATTGATGAAACCTTTAAAGTTGCTGTGTGATATATTTTGTCCTTATTTCAGTTTTTGCTTCAAGAGACAGTTTGAGTTTATGCAACTATTAGAGTACAGAATGAAAAAGTTTGAAAACAACTTTAAAAAGAAACAACTTTGACTTTTCAAAGTTTTTCTTCAATTTTGTATGTCTTAATTCTTTTCATGAGATGGATGGTATAAATATTAAATAATATAATAAATTTATAATTTCCAAAAAGCTTTTAAACCTCTATCATTAAAGTGCAGAATATGTGTTTAATTCATTTGGCTTTATAAACTTACTCAGCTTACCTACATGCACTTCATCATTTTTGTGTTAAAACAACCCCAGATCTGGATACTCATAAGAAAATAATTCACCAGCAACTGCTTATGAAATTTATTGTAGAAGTGAAAACTGTATTAATCATTCAAACTGTACACTTACATTTCTAATATAGGAAAGACAAAACAAAGAGAAGAAGATGGGTGGTAGTATTAAAACCACAATTGAAATTTTAACACCGTTGTAAGCACAAGTGTTTTCATGATTATTTGCATTCTGCCCAATTAACATATCAATACAAAAAAATCAAAATGTGCTACAACTTTACATGTATTTGATTCAATTCCACTTCAGAACACCACAAAAAGCTTACTTAGTGATTTGTATACAACAATATTTGTTTTCATTTATCAAAATTATGCAAACTTGAATAATTTTGAAATTTAAGATGAAATTTATATACAGATTTTTATAAAGCAATTACAAATCCTAGAATTGTGGCAAAAAAGGCCATTGCCCATTGCATCAAAAGAAGCAAAAAAGTAAGAACAATGAATAAGCAAACTTTTCTTTCGTGAACCGTGGAGATAAACTATGATATAATTTTTCGTATAGACTAGAGAGTTAAATCGATTAAAAAAGTTTGACACTGGTAATAAAACTACGGACATCTGCATTCATATGTAGCCGAAAAACAGCTCTTTCGTCGAAAGTAATAAAAAGCATACGCGTAGCTATAGGAGCCGATAACTGACAGCCACAGTTGAGTCGCTGTTGTGAATTTTCTGTTTTTATCTTGATTTTCATCAAAAGATGGCTTGCATAATGCCAAATACACACTTAGATTTTTTCATGGTTCTCCTCGCTCTTTTTTCGAGGGAAAAAATATAAAATTTTCTACAAAGCAGTACTTTAAGGTAAATCTCAGCGGAAAGAGGTCCATTCCACCATTTTTTTTGACAACATCTGATATCTAAAGCCGCACTTGAGAAGGCTCTCCTGTTATTTTAGAACTCAATGGAAAAAACAATTACTTCCCAAAATTAATAAACTACAAGTTGTTATCAAAGGGGGGAACGCTGCCCCGACCCCTTGTCTACAAAAAATTTCAAGGCTCAGAACGTGGAACCATTGGAAGCACCTCAGTGTACAGCATTCTAGGTGGTTTCATACATACGTTATGATTGAGTGACTAGATTGATAGACAAAGAAATTTTACATGCGTGTCTCTTTAACTTTTAGCTTTGCGTTGGCAAGGTTTATTTCGCTATGTTTAGTGCTTTCTTTCTATCGGTTTTCACGTTCCGACTTGTCAGATCTAATTGTTTCGGTTCCGTCTTTTGATTGCTTGTTCAGACGGTCGGATAGATTTGTTGATATTTAGATACGTTTAGGTATTTATAATCTTGAGAGTAGAAATTTGTATTGTCCAGTAATTTATCGATATATTTGCGTACATTACTTATTGTTTCCAAGTCTTTTTCAAACATATATAATTTAGCAAGTCGGCTTCCTCTGATTTTGTCGGTCAGATGAGAATAGAACAAGTCCTATTTCTATCCCCTTTTTCAGATTGACGGATCCGACTGTCGGAGACTAACTTTATATGTTCTCACACGATCCGTTTTTAGGATCAAACAAAATCGGATCCGACAAATCGGATCGAGTGAACGGGCCTTAATGAAACGTGCCATACCTTATTTGGAATACACGCAAACAGAGGCACGCATTCAGAAAGTCGACGGTTGATTTCCGGCAAAAAGTAGCTCACGTGCTTTACATCTTTTTCATTTCACGTTTCAAATAATTTTAAAGATAAATTCATTACCATTTCGAACGAAAACAATTTTTTGATAACACGTTCATATCGCCAACAAATTTGTCTTTAAAATGCTTTTTGATTAAAAGTATGATACTTTGTTTACTCAACCGATCAATCGAACGCATGTTTACAAACGTAGAAACGGACAATATTATAAAATTGTAGTTTTGTTTCCATTATTTCCTTTATAATATTTTGATAGAACCTTACTTCCGATGACTCTGTGTAACTGCGATAAAATCATGAATAGTTATCGCAAAGTGCAAACGTTTCATCGTATTCATAATTCATATTTCATGGTTGAACTCGCATAATAGAAGCTCCAACGAAAACAAACACACGTTTACACAACACTTTTCTCGCCGCTCGAACCCCCCGGCTAAATACGGCACGGTGAACCATTTCATGTGTTTTTAGCCAAACGAGATATGTATAATTGATGTCGGTGATAACTCGATTTTAGTATCTACTGTATTACTTTGTTTAGGTTTCATATCTATTCGGATTCCAGACATTTAAAATCAAATAGAAACTTACAGAAGTTCTGAAAGGTTCTAACTTATTGTGATTGTGCGCTCCCCTTATTCCGTAAACCCCTCTCCCCCCGGAATTGTTAAAAGACAGACAGACACAAATCGAGTTTCACCAGTATAGAGGTCGCGTGGGGTAATGGGTCAAGTCATGTCAAGAATAGTTTCATAGATGTAGTATGTATTCAATATGATGTATTTCAACGTGGACGAACGAGTATGGGAGCTAAGGCAGACAAAACCGTTTATTTTGATGGACAAACGCCTCGGACAACCAAACGACAAATTTACACAAAACTTCGCAAGCGATATTTTCGCCCGTGATCCAATAATAACTGTCCAATATGGCTTCAAAACATTATTAATATCGCTTTGTTTCTAATAAAATTTGATTGGAAGAGTTTGAAGACACTGAAACGAAGTGAACTCCAAAAACAACAATTGCCTAATAGTAGCCCCAAGTTTTTTGCCCTGTTCCCGAGCCATCTTGAATTTATCATGAATGTCGCCCCGTTTTAATAAGTCTTAAATTACGTCACACTCGTCAGCAATCTAGTTCTATTATATCGATGAATAGTGTGCTGCGTGGCAGCAATTACTATAAATGTTGCATAAATTTTCCCCTTCGTCAAATCCTAATACCAATCCTAGCTAAGTTCATCACTGATTTTCAGACTCTGTAATCAAACTACGTATAAATTGTACAAAGTTTTTTAGAAATATTATACTCCTCGGGATAACTTAATCTTGTTACTGTTAATGGATCGTGGAATATCAGCTTCACTTGAAAATTTTATCGAAAGGTAAATAACGTGTATTTGCTTATTCTATAAGTATTAAGGAAATGGAACATGAAAATTGATGTGTAATGATTCTGGTGATATAACTTCAGCTTATAATTTTAGATACCGATGTCTTTCTTTTAAAGACAAAAAGCTACGTATTTTCATCCTATGGATTATGGTGTTGGCCTTAACAAGCTTTACGTCGCAATGGCTCAATTCCGGTACGTTTATTTACATTACTTGAAATTATTGCTGAGATCATTAACTATACTCTATAAATGAATAAAATGAAAACCATGTCTGTATTTGAAAACATATATAAATCAAGGTACCAGTGAATATTATCATTATTTTGAGCTTTGCTTTTGAGTTTTATGCGAGAATTGATTGGGCGAGTTGAACCCCCCTCTAGCTACGTAAGGGTTGTGGCGCAATGTTAAAAATGACTCAAGATAGATAATCAATTTCAAAGCACTGATTGGCGTAAATCACATCATGAACATTCGTACATTTGATTTTAAACTATTTCTTAGTTCCGCAGTGGCGCGATTGAAATGAGGAATGTAACGTAAACGACAACTTGTTTAAATTTTTTAATGCACACATGTTTTGGAAAACTTATGCAATATTTGGTGTAATATAATGAATGAATTATTTAAATAGAGTTAGTATATAAAGAAACATGTACCATAGACATTTGCAATATTGTTGTGACTACGACTGTTGATCACCAATTTTTCGTAGTATTCTGATTTTGTTGGAATATTACCATTAATTGATTGCTTTTTATAAATCTATAGTTTTTACAGCAGGTGATAATTTGCATATCATCAATAAATGGCTGGGCACACTTTGCAATTCATTGCATGTTTTTGGAAGTTTGTGAATGACAGAATCCTTGGACTTTATGGAGACTCAATAATGTTGAATCTACTGTAAATTCTATATGCTATAGATGTTCTTTTAAGTTTATATATTCTGCCAGTCACCAGGGGCTGATCCAAACTGATGCAACTGATGTGAGTGCATCAGTCATAAAAATGAATAGTTAATATTTCGCAGCATTATAACGTACAATAAGTAAAAGCAAAATGCATGAAATATAGCATATTGGAATGTTTGCAGTTTCTAAATGCTTTAAATACCTTAACGCTGACAATATTTAGACAACAAATGTACATTGATAATTGAGATATTTAGTTTAAAGCCTTCGTAGATTTTTTACACGTGAGCATAGTGAACTATAATATCCACAGTTTATATTACAGTTCGCAGTGTGAGTATCATTTTGAGTATAGCCGCATTATTAAAAAATGCGTCATAAAATGGCGTTTTTTGTGTCGAAATATTTAGGGAAAATTTGTTTCATCATTCACTAAAACTGAGCTGCATTTATATTACAACGTCACAGTGGCTAGATAGTGCGTCGCTATGTCACGGTATAGAAAAGTGCATCAGTTGGTGCAACAGTCCCGAGTATCTTTGGCTGAGTGGACCACCTAAACGTCACGAATTTCATTGTTTTTTAGCCTATGTCACGTTGACAAATCGCTGATGGGTCTCAGTTGTGCAATAAGTAATATAATTGAAAATTAAATTTACATGTTCGGGGTCATCGCAAGCGAGTTTTTAATTCTCGCAGGCGAGTTTTTAACTATCGCAGGCGAGTTTTTTAATTCTCACAAGCGAGTTTTTAATTCCGGCACGCAAGTTTTTAATTCTGGCACGCGAGTTTTTAATTTTCGTGGACGAGTTTTTTAACACTCGCAGGCAAGTTTTTTAATTCTCGCACACGATGTTTTCATTCTCGAATGGGAGCTTTTTTATTGTTGAGGGCGAGTTTTTAAATTTTTGCAGTACTAGTATGCGAATTTCTGATATCAAGACGAATTAAGCATGGCGACGAGAGACGAGTTAGAAAATTATTTTAGAGATTTCAACGACTTGTTGAACACAGTAACTAACATCATGCTCACGTAATACATGGAAAGAATATATTTCATCGTAGTTCTTTTTGGAATGATTAGCTCGTGTGAAGTAATAAAAATACACTGGAAAAAACGATGTAGTTGTATTGTTAAAGCAATTGTTCGACTTTGCTTATAGCAAATGGAATGAAGTCAAAGAAAAAAATCTGGCCTGACCAGTCGTTGTTGCAAAGTTCGCAATATCTCACTCCTCAGGAGGTGAATGGAGGGACGCCTAAAATTTATAATCACTAAACAACAGTTAGAATACCTTTGCAAAACTGGAATGACTTGGAGTAAGATTGCAAAATTTATCAACGTTAGTAAAAGAACGTTGTGCAGGAGAGTGGAAGAATTTGATTTGTACGTACGATATTCTGACATTACTGACGTTGAACTTGACATATTATATAAGGATGTATTAGCTTTGACACGAAAAGCAGGTGAGAGCTACATTTGAGGTAGTTTGAGAGGTAGGGGTGTATTGGTAAAACGCTGGAGGGTGAGACAGCGGCTTCAAGTTGTGAACCCTAAAGGACGAGTTGTTTGGTGGGGGTGTATTGCTCGAAGACGAGTGTACAATATCAAATCAACTAATTGCTTATGCCACATAGATTCTAACCTTAAACTAATTCCTTGGCGGTTTGTGTTTCATGGATGTTTTAATGGTTATAGTAGAGCAAAAATTTACTTGCATAGCATGACCATTAATTTGTCTTTCGAGACCCTTCGTTACTTCCAAGATGGATTTATTCAATATGGACTCCTTGAATAGTTCGTGGCGACCAAGGAATCGAAATTTACGATGCTGCACATTTTATGGTTTCTAAACGTGGCACGAACAGTGGCAGTTTTATCGCAGGCAGGAGAGTCCACAATAACAGAATCAAAAAACTGTGGAGAGAAGTCAACACGGTGGTCATCTGCTTGTATAGAGATATATCTTAGCACATGGAACAGCACGCGTTTCTTGACCGCAACAATGAATTAGACATATTGATACTGCACTACAGCTTCTTGCCTCGCATTCGTCAATCTACGGATGAGCTTATATTGCAGTGGAACAACCATGGCATGAGAACAACACAACCCCTCAGCGAGCGCTCGTTTTAAAAATTCTTATTTATTACCAAAAAACCCGATCTTTTACTTTTTCTGCGATTCTATCACTTTTTCTTCATTTTTTTTCCAAGCCTAACCTCGCGCTTATAGTCCTGCGCAAACGCTTAATTCACGTATTGGCACGCAATAACAGTGCGGCTAGGTAATTAGGCCTAGCTTTGATCGAGGCTATCATTTTTCCTACCTCACACTCACACACACCATTATATAAACCTGTACGAAATGTTAAAATTTTGTTTTAAATGAATTACTGCAGAAGATTTTTTCACACTTTAGACACCATGGTATTAAGAGAATCACTTTTTTATTGAAGGAGTGAGTCCGAGTCGATTCAGCAGAACTATAACTTTAGCGGTGAATAAAATTTGATGAACAGAACATAAATATGACATTAGAGACCAGTTACAATATAATAGCTGCAATATACAATTTATTTGGGAGAAGCCTAAGAATTCTAAGTCATTGCATTCACAAGAAGATCGTTGCCAATACACTCAGTTACTATGTCATGAAAATAGTAACAGCAAAACTGAACAGCCCATCGGCTTAATATTGCCGTACAAATTTTTAAGAAATTCTAGTCTGTTAATTACAATGTGTTGCATTTTTATGTCAATAGAATTTATTACATTCGGCTTTGTTATTTTTTTTATTAATTAAGCCAGATATTCTTCCACAAATTTTGGTTTAATAGTTAAATAGTGTTTTTTTAATCTTCTCTAGTATGTTACCTTCTAATCCTTTCGTACATAAATCGAAATTTTTACTTCGTACTTTGAAACGTAATTATTTTTTTATTTATAGAAAAGAGCACGATGCCAAGATCAGCAAATGTTGAAAGGTATGAGAAAATTGTATAGAACAAAAAAAGTTAACATTATTGACTTTTCCCTTTAATGATACGCGAACATTGAGTAATTTTTTTCAATGGGATTACGTCTGTAACGTACAGTGGCGGATCAAGTGTAGGTATGTCGAAATAACTTACTGTAACACTTTTTTTGATTTATTTACATACATCCAAACACCTCAAACGCAAGTTCATTAATCAAAGAATAATCTTAAAAAACTCAAAACAAAAGGTTTTATTCTGAATATATTTTGAAATTAAAACTAAGTAGCTATGTAATATATTTTGACTAACGATGGATAAACTGCTGCTAATGCATAGGACCACCAGTGGCGTGCGGTCATGCAAGCGTAGGCAAGCGCCGCTTGCCTAAGCATTTTACCGAACAAAAATTTTTTGGATCAATCTCTGAGCAAAATCAGTTTAAATTTTTCTGTTCTAAACAATGTCAATGTAATCTTTTGTCTAAATTGTCTTTACAGTTGAAATGCTTGCTATTTATACGCGATTTACTGTCGTGGTTTTCGGTTTCACTTTGCTACACTTGTAAGATGAGTCAAGTGTATTAAATTAAGTGGATTAAATTAATTATTTATTAACCAAGGCAAGCGCGCTTGCCTTCGGAGCTCAATTTGAACATTTGCGCATGCGTTAATCTAGATTTGGAGGCTTCTTATTCGAGGAATATCGAGAAAAGGCAAGCGGCGCTTCTAAGGGCGCCGCTTGATAGCGATTGGTCAACAGTCTTGTACATTCGCTATTTTAAACACATATCAGCGCACGAATAATATTCGTATATTCAACACATTGGACATCCGAATTATTCACGCCGTTAATGTTATCGTTTATTAAAAGATGACTGAGAGCGAAAGGTAATGTTCTGATTTCTAATTCAAAGTAGTAGTAGATTTCTAATTTATGTATGTAGAAGATATTATCTGTAGCATGTTATACTTTAGCGTTATAGAAGTCTTGCGTATGAGCTCTGAACGTGATTTCAATGTACTAGAACGCTATTAAATTTTGTGATTATTTTATTCACTAGCAAAGAAGTTATTTACAACAGTCGTGAGTATTCTATATGTTAGAATTTATTTACAGGCTTTTTATATATTTTGATAAACAAGGTGCAGTTATTACACAGCGGATAATGTACTTGAAATTTGAGTAGTTTTACGTAATTATAAAGTTAAGTGCGTAAGTTTAAAGTGGTTATATCACGAATTAAATCATAGCATAAATGTAAAAATGGAAAGTAGCAAGCCGTTCAAATGGCGAATCGTTTGCTTGCCCAGTGCATACTTAAACATGCTTAGTTTCATCACTAGTAGATGGTACTTCCTCATTGAGAGAACATGTTTCCTTCAGCGATGGCTTATGGAGAGTATGTCGAATAATCTACGAAACTTATATCGAATTTACATATGACAAAAGAAAAATTAACATAAACAAGCGTAAACTTACTTCTCTTCCCTTTCGATCGGTTATTTCGTCCTGTAATGGTTCAGGAATCCCAGCCACGTCAATGGTTGGGATAGCATCTTTCTTCAACCTTCTTTTGAGCTTGACTTACACGCTCAAATTAAGGTCAAAACAAGAATCTTCAAAATGCGCAGAACACAGACACGAGGTAGAGGAAGCCTCAAAACCCGGTCTATGTTTACGCACAAAATTTATCCATTTTCTATGTCTTTGCGGCTCTGTTTCTTTTTTAGGAAACAGATGCATCGACATTCCTTCGGTTTTTGAATCATTGGCGCAACTAATTTGATTAGGTCCGCCAGAAACACAGCGTTTTCCTCCGCGTTTCTTATTAAGATTACTAGTAGAATACGCCATGTTGATATATGTGTTCAACTTTCTACGTCACAAGTCATTAGCATACCGATCAAAAAGTTCGCAAAAAAAATGCTGAAAATCGTGACTTTGAACGTCCGTAAAATCACTTTCACCAATCCAATTTCAATTATAATTGCAGATTTAAAATCACTGAAACAATGTGTTTCAATTTAGCCAATAAAAAAGGGGGGCTAAAATTCGTGATATAACCACTTTAAGTAGCGCGTTTGAGTAAGTGTAGGATTGGCTATTTCCTCTATTGCTAATACATGAATCTAGATGAGTAATGTACGCACGTTATGTACGTCACTACAAGATATCATGTAACTGATGTAAGGTATAAATACGATTGATGTTCCTATAAAATATATAGCATAGGAATTTTCATCCTTTTATGTTCTACTTCTACAATTCGGTATTTTGACGACACCTGTACAACACGACTGAATGCATTGTGGAATCACTGTTATCCCGCTCATTTGGATTGAGACCTTTTTCCGAGAAACGAGAGATCGTCGAAGGTGGCCGTCCCACTCCTGAGTTGCAAGGACTACATACAACATCCAAGCGAAGTGGTAAAGTCTTTATTCGAAGTTTTCAGACGTCAAATTACGACAAGTACAAATGGCTGGCTGGCTCCTCAAAATTGAATAAGTTATTTTGCTGGCCGTGTCCTTGGTTCAACTGAACAGACAAGACAGTCTGGTGCAAGAAGGGATACGATGATTTGGCCTACCTGTGTAATGCCGTCAACAGACACGAGAAAACGAAGACACACTTGTCCAGTTGCCTAATGAATGCCAGTTTTGGGCGTACACGCATCGACATGCAGCTAGACGAACAGGCCCGTCAACACATCTCAGCTCACAACTTAATGGTGCACAAGAATAGAGAACTTCGCCGTTTCATTGATGTTGTTTGCTTTCTTGGCAAACAGGAACTTTCTTTCAGAGGTCGGGTGGAGCTGGAGGAGTCTGCCAACAGGGGCAATTACGTCGAATTGATAAAACTGCTAAGTGCATATGACCCCACGCTTGAACAGCATCTTCATACAGCAACCGTGTTTTCTGGACTTTCTAATCGTATCCAGAACGATTTGATTGTTGCTGTCAAGGACGTTATGTTGAAAGCAATAAAAGATGAAGTGATGAGGAGCCCATTTGTCGCTATTTTCCTGGATGAAACCTCCGACGTTAAGACCTTATCGCAGCTAACAACTATAGTTCGCTATGTCAACCCAGTTGGTAAATTTGTGGAGCGCTTTCTTGGATTTACCGATGTAAGTGAGGATAGAACTGCGGCTAGACTGAAACAAGAAGTCGGTAGAACCCTGAACGAGTACGGATGCGGCGAAAAACTGATTGCCCAAACGTATGACGGTGCGAGTGTGATGTCAGGAGAACTGTCCGGTTTGCAAACACGAGTAAGAGAAGACTATCCACATGCTCTTTTTATTCGCTGTTGCGGACACGCATTAAATTTGGTCCTTGTTCAAGCTGTCTCGTCAACTAAAGAGTGTCCTATATTTTTAAAACCGTCACTGGTCTTTCATCCTTTTTTCACGCCTCGTCCAAGAGAGCATACCTGTTGGACACAGTTGTCGGCAGACGCATTCCCACTGGAACAGCTGTTCGATGGCACTATCAGAGCAGGTTAATCCATGCTGTACTGGAGACAAGAGCAAAGCTGCTCGAAGTTTTCGAATACATCATCGAAAATGATGACGAGTTTGACGGTACGACGTTAAACGAAGCGAGGGGCTACCGACAAGTTCTTGCAGATTTCCAGTTTGTGTTCTGCCTTAAAATATTTTCAGAAATATTTGGTCTTACGGATGTTTTGTATAATATCATTCAGAGTAAGCAGTTCGATATTGTCTTCTGTGTCACGAAAGTTCGCGAGACGAAAGATAAGATTCAAGAACAACGAACAAAATTCGTAGATTATTGGAATTTTACGTCAAGTATCGTCAAAGTAGCACTGAAACGCGGGCAAAGTGAAGAGGATGTAAAGGCGTCCTTCCGTCAAATGTTTTTCTGTGTAGTCGATACCATTGTCGTGCAGATTGACTCTAGATTCGAAAGTCTTAACAGCAGAGCATTCGTTTCTTTGTTGGATCATTCAAAGCACGAATTGTACAGCCGGAATTTTCCCGAACGAGAGCTGCAATCGTTGCAAGATTCATATGGAACATTCTTTAATCTTCAAGCACTAAAAGTGAACTAATCGTTGTATACGCATCTGCCGAGCTCAAATCGAAACCTGTTTTGATATGATATCAAAATAATCGAACTTGACTTGAAAGCCTGTTTTCCAGAGGTGTACCGATTGTGTCAGCTCATTCTTACTATGCCAAGTACGTCCTCCTCTGCAGAAAGATCATTTTCAGCTCTCAAGCGTATCAAAACGTATCTTCGCAGTACACAAGGGCAAGAGCGACTTTCTGCATTCACTACAATTTCAATCGAGATGGAGATGTTGGTAAGTTTGCAGGGGGAGCCACGATTCTATGAGGACGTTATAAAGGAGTTTTGCGCAAAGGAAAGACGGATGGAATTTACATTTAAGTAAATCTGTTGTAGGATTTTGGACTATTTCGTTCTGTTACTTCTTCACTACAATAGAAATGCACGCGTAGCCATTTACTTTAAACGACTTTATATCACAATACCACAGGTAATACTTTTAAACCGTAATTGTGATATATACTCTATAAAAGTTTTTGAATTTTTTAAATTTTTTCAATACTGTTTCAGTCATGACAGATACATTTTTTCGACAAAGTACTCCCAGAAATCGCGGGAAATGTGCTCCAGTAGCCTTCAAAATCCAAAAATTTTCTGGGGGAGCATGCCCCCAGAACCCCTAGATAGCTTCGCTGCATGCCGCGAACCTCACCCCCAGCGCTTGCCTATTAACTTCGGTCACCGCACGCTACTGGTCGGAGTAGTCTTGATCTCATTTCTGATGTTCCGTTTATATATGGTAATGTCACTATTTTTACTGGTTCGTCTGTATCTTCGTTAGGTTTTTCAGTTTGTGGTTTGTTATGTATTTTGTTTAATACTTTGTTGATAAAGTTTCGTGGGTAATTGTTGTTTATGAATGTAGATAATAAGTAGATGCGTTCATTCTTCTTGGCTTCTTCTGTATTGCAGTGTGTTTTAATCCTGTTAAAGAGAGTTCGTATGCAACTAATTTTGTGTTGTGTTGGGTGATTGCTATTAAAGTTGAATATTTGGTCTGTGTGTGTATTTCTGCGGAATACTTGTGTGTTCAATGTGCCGTCATGTGATCTGGTAAGTAGAATATCTAGGAAGGTAAGTTGTTCGTTCTGTTCTTTGTCCATGGTGAAGGTTATGTTCTGTGTGGTGTTGTTTATTGTGTGTAGAATGTTTTCTATTTTGTCTTTCTTGACGATAGCAAAGATGTCGTCAACAAATCTTCTCCATAGTCTGATGTGTGTGTTGTTGGTGACTGAATGCTTTTCAAGGTGTTGCATAACAGCTTCTGCAAGGAAGGTGGTTAAAGGAGAACCCATTGGTGTTCCAAGATTTGTCGGTAATATGAATTTTGGAAGGAGAATTCAGTGGGGAGGCAGAGCTCGAGCAGGTCAATGATATCGTCTTGGTCTAGTTCGGTTGTGATTTTCCATGAGTTGTTGTTAGTAAGTAGTTCGTTCGTGACTTATTTGGCTATGTTTAGTGGTATAGATGTGAAAAGTGACACTACATCGTAAGATATCATGAGTTCGTCTGGTTTTAGTTTTACATTTTTAATATTGGTGAGGAAAGTTGTGGCATTTTTGATAGTATGATGTAATGATTTGACAAGTGGGTACAGAATATTAGAAAGATATTTTGATAGTTCATACGTGGGAGATCCAGGAAGAGATACAATTGGTCGTAGCGGGTTGTTTTCTTTGTGAATCTTTGGTAGTCCATAGAATTTGGCGGTGGAAGAGTCGTTGGGTCGGATTCTTTTGTAGACGGTTTCGTTAAGTTTCTTTTTGTCTTTTAGTTGTTTTAATTTCTTGTTGATGCGGTTGGTAGTGGTTTTGTTTGGGTCTGTTTGTAGAGGTTCATACGTGTTGGTGTCTTTTAAGAGGGTCATCGCTTTGTAGTCTGATTTGTCCATGATTACAGTTTTGCGTCCTTTGTCGGCTGGTAGTATGACTATGTCTTCGTCGTTTCGTAAGTTTCTCATAGCTTTTTGTTCTTCGTTGTTAAGTGTGACTGGTGTTTTGAGGCAGAGGTTTGTCGTTACTTTGTGGCGAATGTCTTCTTTGATTTCATCGTTTAAAATGGTGAATTTCAGTGATGATTCTAGATCGGCAACGAAGTATAGTTTGTCAGCGTCTTTGATGTTGTAATTTAAGCCTTTGCTTAAAATTTTAGTCTGCTGTACGGAAATAATGAAATTAAAAAGAAAATGTTTTGAAGTGTTTTAAACGTGCACAAACTACAAACACAAATCTCGTACACAAATAAAATTACTCGCGGAATTATATTGCTATTCCAAATCAGCGTGACATGATTTGTTTTAGTGGAAAAGAAGTGATTTTCTTGCGTGTTTTATAATGGTGTGGTCTTTTTCTGTGATTGTTGTGTATTGTTTTGCCCACGCTAGGCATTTTTCCAGTAGGTGTTCGGTGATCGAAGGGTAAAAGTCTACTATGTCAACTGATATGAATGATTTTCTTTGTTTTTCGGTGATGGATTTAAACCAAGTTATAGCATCTGTTGTGTTGTGCTATTGGTTTAGTTTTAGTTCGTTTCGTATTATGTTGTTGATGTTGTCTAGGATGAACTTGCTGACTTTTCCGAGGTGGCTTTTTGCGGGGTTGATGAGGCGGCATCAACTTTTTGGACTATGACAATACATTGCTTATATATACATATATATATATATATATATATATATATATATATATATATATATAAAATAAAATGGACAATTGTTTGCTGTCGCTACTGGAGTTTCACGCCGTAGGGCGATCTTCAGGCAACTGACAGATTATATATTATTTGCTGACTATATACATCGACTAAAAGGTGTTAAGTTACATGACGGCATGCACTAAACATATCGGAACGTTTATTTAAAATGTTCTTTTTACGTCCTTTCAGGATAAGTAGCCTTTCTTCAAGGCAAAGACGGCAGGTTCTTTGGTTTTTGTTCGGAGGTGGAAGTTGTTTGATGAAGTCCCATTTAATGTTGTAGTTACGTTTGTTTTCTTTCAGTGTTCACGTGTATTTAGAAAGTTCTGTCTCGTTCCGGTATTTAATGTTCGTAATTGATTTAATGTGGTTTCGATATCGTGTCTTAAAGGCGCATGCAGTAACACCTATGTAAGTTTTTGTTTCGTTGTTGTCAGTCGTTGTCACGTCGGCTTTGTAAATCACGTTGGGTTTCAGGCAATTGCCATTTGTCGGGCATAGATGTTTCTGTCTGCAGTTACATTTCTTTGGAGGGTTGTTCTTGTTCTGGTTGTGTCTGGGTTAAGTCTTTTTAAAATAGTCTTGTTGTGTCTGGTTATGAAAGTTTTCATGTTTTCGCCGCAGCTGTAGCTTACGCGTATTGTGTGTCGGTTGAATATCTTGGAGAGTATAGTATTTGGTGGGAAATGTTTGTCGATAAGTTGTAGGAAGTCATGGGCGATGTGTGTTTTTACGTTTTTGCTGTATGGTGGGTTAAACCAAGTGACGTTACGTTTTCTGTTGTACGTGGTGTTTACATTGATGTTTGATGGATTAAAGGTGAGTTGGGTGGTGAAGTTGCTTTGTTTAAGAGCTTGGTTGTAAATTGGTGCGGCATTTTCGAAGGTGTCTTTGCCAGATGAGAGTGTGTTAATTCGGTTGTTGATGGATGTGGGTAGTTGGCGTAATACTGATGGTGGGTGGTTGGACGATCTGTGCATGTAGAGGGGCTCGTCGTTGGGTTTTCTATATGGTTTGTAGGTGTCGTTGCTAAGGTCAAATGTTACGTCAAGGAAGTTTGTGCGTTCATGGTTTGTCATCGCTGTGATTTTTAGTCCAAGCTCGTCAAATAGGTGTGAGAGGGTTTTTCTTTCTTTGTCGCAGAGTCTTCCAGATTTCGTATTTATGACTGCAAGGCCATCGTCACGGTATAAGCCGACGTTGTTTCCGTACCGTTGCTGTAGTTGGTCAAGTAAGAATAGCCCTACAAGCTCGCAAACTTCCGCTCCATCATAGCTGCCCATGGTTACATCAAACGTGTTGGTAGCGTTGCGTTTGGACCATGATTTGTTTTGGTGGAAAAGATGTGATTTTCTTGCAGATTTAAACGTGCTTTTAGCTTGGAGACGTTTAGAGCGTAAATAAATATCCTCATTCTGATGAAGGCTCGAAGCAACGAGTCGAAAGCTCAATAAAAATCATTTAAAAATCCGGAGAAACGTTTATCTTTCATATATTCAATGCCTGGATTACAAATTTTCAAACTTATAAAATCGACATATGGGATAGATATTCTCAGAAGAACAAGAAAATGGGAATTATTCGCACGTAAAGAGTCATCAACATTGGAGCAGCTTCACTTCCTAATCCACCCACTAATCCAATTAGACGCTCTAAACGTCTCCAAGCTAAAAGCACGTGTAAATAAATATCCTCATTCTGATGAAGGCTGGAAGCAACGAGTCGAAAGCTCAATAAAAATCATTTAAAAATCCGGAGAAACGTTTATCTTTTATATATTCAATGCCTGGATTACGAATTTTCAAACCTATATATATATATATATATATATATATATATATATATATTATTATGGATAATATTCCTGGATAAAAGAGCGCTCAATATTCTATATATTAGAAGAGCGTAAGATAAAATGAACTAAAATAAAATGGACAATTGTTTGCTGTCGCTACTCGGAGTTTCACGCCGTAGGGCGATCTTCAGGCAACTGTTTTTAGTGTTAAATTAACACCTTAAAATTTACAGTGTACAGATTGTTGAAAAAAGGAACATAGAAATGTACTAACTGCGCGAAATTTTCCTTTTTGATCCTTCGATAAATAAGACCTGAAGACAATTTAAAAATTCCAGTTGCCTGAAGATCGCCCTACGGCGTGAAACTCCGAGTAGCGACAGCAAACAATTGTCCATCTTATTTTAGTTCATTTTATATATATATATATATATATATATATATATATATATCTTTTAATTTAATTCTGATTTTTTGTACTTGAATAGTTTGATTCAGCTGGTACTTTAAGCAATACATCTGATGAGCTGTTGAAGGCATGTGGCATAAAAGGAGGGCAAGTTATACGAATCAAAAATGCATTGGCAACGATTAACAACTTGGACAAACTTCTACCAGTAAGAAATGTTCTATCCACCATTGAACCATCCACCCAGAAGATTGCTTTATCCACTAGTAATTTCTTTGCCATAAATAACAATGTCAGCAATTCTTCAGCGTCAATTGAAGAAGCTCATTTGTCAACAGGCACACCGACACCTACAACATCCAGTACACCTCGACATACCATAGCATCTGATAAGAGTGATCAACCTTCACCAAACTTTGTACTTGTGGAAGGAAGGAAACTGAACAAGAACTGGATAAAAGATTTTAAACTTCCTATTTCTGTATGTTAAATAATATACCTCATAATAGGTCACATTCTAATGTTAAAATTTATTTTTCGTATTTTACAGTTTTCTTCAATGGTGAATGAAACACTGCAAGCAGGAAAACTTAATGGAAAACTTAGGGATGAGTTTACTAGGGACATTTGTTCTTCTATTAAAGCTCATACAATGTTTCCATCCAGAGAAGAAAAACAAAGATTGGCGTCCATGACTGTAGAAAAATATACTTTTCTTGTCCCTTCACTTGGAGCTGGTACAGTAAGTCATATTGATATTATTTAATGCATTAGATAATCTTAAGAAGGGATCCTATAGCTTTGCTCGCTATCTCTTATAATGTGCAGCATGAACTTACTTTGTTACAGGGATCATGGTTGAAAGCAATCACTAATCGATTAAAAACATGCGTATAAAGAAGACAAATTCAACAACAAGATCTGTTTGTGTGTCTCAAACTACACAAAGAAAAGCAGCCAGAAACAAAGATGTTTCTAAGATGTTTTATATATTTAATTATATATATACATTTAACTTTACATGTTTCATATATTGACTTGTTTACAGTATGTTTTATGTTTTGTATATATATATATGTGTGAATACATGCATATAAATCATTTCATTTTTTTAAATCTATTTATTGCTCAGCATTTTTGTGTCGCGTGTTTAACTGGCCTTAAATAAAACAATAAGAAAAGCGTGCAAAATAACACCGAATTTAAGTGTCATTTTGACACCGGACGTTAAGGGCTAAATTAGCACTTTAACAAGTGCTATAATAACACCAAGAATAGGCGCTATTTTAGCACCAAACTCGGTGTTAATTTAACACCAGTAAGAAAATAACACCCGAAATGGTGTTATTCTGTACCTTTTAATTTAACACGACTTTTTAGTGTTAAATTAACACCTTAAAATTTACAGTGTACAGATTGTTGAAAAAAGGAACATAGAAATGTACTAACTGTGCGAAATTTTCTTTTTTGATCCTTCGATAAATAAGACCTGAAGACAATTTAAAAATTCCAAGATAAGAGAGTTTTTGTTAATTTTTTGTCGTGTTCTCTCCACGATATATTCCACGATTTTTGTATGTGTCTTTACTTATGTTACATGGACGCGTAAATGAGTTCATTTACTGCTGATCATTAATTTTTTAATATGGTATAAGACTTTCACTGTTGAATTTTATTATGTTTGTTTTTATTGGTTATCTAATACTGTTCCACTTAAAGAGTTGATCAAAGTATACTCGCTCCCAGTTGCTTCTGTTTTGAATGCCATCTCTGACCACAAAATTTCTTTAAACATACACTTGTTTGCGTGCAGTTTTGCAGTTTTTCGACGTTTTATGTTTTTCATATGCGTATAATTGTTTCAAAATTCATGTTCTAGCGCAGATGATATCGTGTTTATGAACTCTTTAAGTGGCTTGATTTTTTTTCTGTTCAGTCTTGTTTCGTGATTGCTTTGGATCTGTTGCATTGCCAATTGTTAATCCGTATTTCTTTTCATAAATCTTATTTGAGTATTTTGTTTTAGATGTTGTCAGCAAGAGCAAGTTTTGGACAAAGTTTTTTCTCTTGTTTTATGTTGCGTGAAAGCTGGCGGAGCCATTTGGTTGTTTAGTGTCAGTTTGGTAATTTTTTTATTTGTATAGAGTTTTCATTTTTGCCCAACAAAACACAAAGTTTAACTCAAAATTCCTCATGATCAGGTTCGTATTCAGTTCTTGATGAAGATACACAACGTAATGTTTGGCCTATTGTTAAAAAATGGCATAGCCAAATTGTTCAGTTTCATATTGTAAACTCATACGGTCTTTTTAGAAGGTAACATTCGTCAACACGCAAATTTCGTTAAACTTGATAAATGAACATATGCTTATATTACGATGTTCAAGGTAAGTTAGGGTCTTTGCTATTTCTTTGTATTTCAACATGGCTCCTATCAAATGTGATTCTGCTATTATTCCCAAGAGTGTATTGCGCAAATTTTTCCATCCACCATCAATTTTTAGGCAAGCTAAATGTAATCGCTCTGAAAAATTGTTAAGTACAATAACAGAAACATGATTTTTGCTTTTGGGATATTTTGCACAGTATTATGACGTTCAAACGAAAGCTCGTAAAACAAAATTTCGTGATAAAATCTGTTTTTCCGAAGACAAAACGCAAAACGTGATGTATGTTTGTGACAGAACTCGAAAGCATTGCATTTTGTTGTGCGTTATAGCCTATTTCCATTTTCGCAACACTGTGAATCGAGAAACTGAAGATTAGTACTGTTGATTTACCGATGTTCTCGTGGCTAATTCTAGGAGGTATATTCTTGCGCCAGCAGTTCAAATCATATCTCGTGTGATCAATAGAAAGACTTCTCGGTCAATCATGTTCTCTATGGAAAATGAAAATATTTGCATGAACGAGAATTGTTCCATACTACATACGTGTCGCACATAATCCAATCACAACGTTACGACAAGTACTAATGAACACGAAGGACAAAGAACAATCCAATGAAAGAAAAGGCGCAGTTTTCAAAATAAACTGCTCCGACTGCCACGTCTCCAAATCGGTGAAACTGGCAGAAACGTAAACATAAGACTTACTAAACACAAACGAGCTACTAAGAAACAAGACGAAATTAATCACATTGCTGAACATCACCGAATCACAAAGCAAACATTGACTGGGACTCGGCAAAATGCATCACTTACAGTACTGACCATAGACAACGGCTTACATTGCAAAATTGGTGTACCAATTTGGAACAAACACCCCTCAACAGATCACAGCAATTACCGGCACCTTACAAACGACTTATTCACAATACAAACAAACGATCAACTAAAAACATTACATTTCACACTAATTCACAATGACAATACACAATTGACACCCACACATTACAACTAAAAACATCACACCTAAATCACACATCACAACTAAAAATAAAATATTTCACTTCACCCTAATTCACAATGACAATACGCATTTCCTGTACACACAATACAATGACGTAAGAACCAGATAAAAAATACGGCTAACCTGACGTTTACTCCTCATATGACTCTGAAGATGACTACAGCTAAGGTTCTCGAAACGTCAGTCAACAACAACAAAAACAGTCCTTCTCAGCACTTTAATAAAAGTGGACGATCATCATTTACAAACATGTAATTTTTCTTTTTAATCATACAGCAAACGTGTTTTTTTTTGCAGAGAGTTCGAATTAGCAAACTGTTGATAAAAATAAGTCCTCACCTTCTAAAATATCAACCAATGACGAAAGTTTTCCCTAAGTTGTATTTTATTTCAAACATTTTTCGATTTAAATCTTAATTGTATTCAATTTGTTTGCCGCCATGTTTTATGCTTATTTCATGAAAAATGCAAGCCCACAATGAATTTTGACCAGCGCCTAAGAAGAAACGTTATGTCGTAGTAGTTAACTAATATATATATATATATATATATATATCATCGAAATCAAGTTTTTTATTATAAAATGTATTATGTCTAAAAATAGTCATAATACAATTTATAATAAAAAAAACCGGGGGGATCGCTTTTGAAGCAGTCAGCGGTAGTAAACATAAAAGTAGAAAAGGGTGAGCCTGTGGTAATATACATATATATATTTTAGAAAAGTTAATAAGAGTAATATAAAATATATAAAAAAGAAGAATATATAAAAAAAAGATATATTTCAAATACAATATAAAATAATTACATTGATGAAAGTCCAAAGTCCAATTTTTAAAAGTGATAATATGGAAAGTCCAAAGTCCAATTTAATGGTGATAAAAATTGTCTCGCTTCAATGCTTCATCCACAATAAACAATCGATAAAAGGACTCAAATAATTCACCAAATTCATTATCGCTCCAATACCACTTTAACCAACTTTTCATCTGCATACAAAGAATACATGGATAAACTGAGTTGGTTCGTATATCACACATTCTAAGAAAAAAGAAATGATGTTAAACAAGTAAGTGTCATAATGTTAATAAATAATAAAAATTGAAATATGCTTACTAAAAAAGTGGAGATAAAATCAATTATCATCACCAATATTAACAGGCTGATCCAAAGACTTTGTTGTTTTGTGAAGACAATAAAGAAAACCAAGATGAAGAAGACTCAACATGAATATGTTTTCACCATAGACATACCAAAAAAATTTCAGATCTTGAATAATAGAATTAATTCTACTTTTGAAAGCCATCTTCTCTCTTTGAGTGACTGAATAATTATGATACAATTGCATATATAAAAAAGTATAAATATAGAGAAAATTGTAAAAAAATGAAATTTATTGTAAAAAGTTGAAAAAAGTTGAAGAAAATAAATTTAATAATGTAAAAAAATGAAAAAAATGTAAAAAATTGCAAAACAATTTTAATCAAGAAAAAAATTTATTACATGTTTTTACAATTTAAAATGTTATATTAAAAAAAGTTTTTTTAAAATAAACCACTAGGTTCATCAAATGTTGACTGTTTTTCCTCTTTTTTAACAAATGAGTCCATGGGTACATCACCAAATCTTGATTGAAAAGATGCACCAAATGCTAATGGATTTTCCTCCATACTAAGTAAATCAAATGGTTTTTTACTTTCACCAAATGCTTCTGGTTTTTCTTTTTTACTAAGTAAATTAAATGTTTTTTGAGCATTAGATTTACCAAATAAACCAGTTGGTTCAACAGATGTTGATTTTAAAGATAAAACATTTTCATCTTTTTTTTCTAATTCATTAATTTTATCAAGTAATTTGTAAGAATGTAAAAAATGTTCTTTTTCTCTTTTTTTTATCACATCATTTATTTCTTTTATTTCTTTTTGCAACAAAATGTTTGTTGTTTTTATAAATAAAGATAAGTCTTGTAGTCTTGTTTTTATATCACTATTTTCATTCATTTTTTTTGTATTTTCTTTCTGTAATACAACAAAAGTTGGATTAAAAATGAATATATTCTAATTTGAGTTTTGTTAATAACATATCTTACCGTAGTATAGTTTCTTTCTTTATGAATAAAATAACTTCCTTTTCAATTTTTTTTTGTAATTCTTTTTTTTCTTTACAGCAAGTATATGTATGATAAAAGATACAATCTGATGGGTATACTGGTAATGATGCGTCATTTAAAAGCTGAAGAGATCTTTGACAATTTTTACAATAAAAACAATATTTATAAAATAATTTTTTATATCTTTCATTTTCAAAAAATTATCACTTTTATTTTCAAGAAAATTATCATTTTTATTTTCATCCATTTTTCCAAAAAAATCTAATTTCTTATAAAAAAGCATATAATATTGTGTTTTCTTTTTTTTCGTTTCTTTAAGTTCCCTTTTGACAAGTCTTTTATTTTTTTCCTTTTTTCTTCTTCTACCTTTATTAATTTAATTTCCTCTTCAATTTTTCTTTTTAATTCTTCTTTGTCTTTACAACTAATGTTTACATGATAATCAGCAATCTCTGCTGAAGTTGGTATTGGTAATTTTTTTATAAAGAAATAATGTTGGTAATCATCACATAACTTGCAATAATAACAATATTTATAAAATAATTTGCTGTATAGTTTACTGATGGATGTATATGACATATTGATTTGAAGTGTTTTCTTTTCAATAAATTCAATTGAAGTGCTTTTTTTCTTTCCACTCTTCTTCAATAAAGTCAATTTCTTCTACAATTTTTCTTTTTAATTCTTCCTTTTCTTTACAGCAAACATATAAATGATGAAAAACACAATGTGTTGGATTTTTTGGTAATGAAGCACTATATAAAGCTTCCATTTGATATCTTTCACATTCTTTACAATAAAAACAATATTTGTAAAATAATTTTCTATATCTTTCATTTTAAATACTATTTTTATTTTCATACATTTTTTCTAAAATAAATCAGCTATTTTCCACTAAATGTTAGTATGAAAATTAAGAAAGTTTACAATTTAATGGAGTTACAATAAACTATCATGTTTCTTTTAATTTCTATATCTTTAAGTTCTTTCTTGTATATTTTTTTAATTTTTTTTCCTTCTTTCTTTTTCTTTTTCGATAATTTCAATTTCTTTTTCAATTTTTTTCTTTATTTCTTCGTTTCCTTCACAGCAAAACTCTGCGTGATGCTTGATAGAATGTTCAGGTGATAATGGTGCACGTCCATAACGCCATAATTTAATATTATGAGTTTCACAAAATGAACAATTAAAACAATATTTATAATATAATTTGATGTAGAGTTTAAAGATGTGATCATATGGGATAGTTATTTTATTTATTTCTCTATTAGAATTCAGTTTCTTTATATTTTCATCAACTATTTCCAGTTTCTTAGCAAAATATTTTTTTCTTCTTTGTTTTCTCTGCAGCAATTGTCAGCATGAAAATGAATACGTTGTAATTGACTTGGAAATGAGTAGAAATTATGATGAATTTCATATTTTTGACACGTGTTACAAGAAAAGCAATAGTTATAAAATAGATCTCTATATATTGCGTTTATACTAGCAATAGACTTTTTACTTAAGTTTTTTATACCCTGTTTATTAGTAATGAATAAAAAATAGCAAGTTTACACTTTTATAGAATTTTGTGATAATATAAAGTGTTTTTTCCTTTTTTCTATTTTTTAAATTCTTTTTTGAATTTTTTTTTACTTTTTTTTCTCATATTCAATATGATTTATATGGTTAATAATAAAGTCATTAAAAGATAATTCACTAACATATTTATAATTATTTGGTAAAAAATAGATATATATATACATTTACTACAATTAAATTCAGTTAAAAATTCATAATTTTTACCTATTTCATTTTTTCTCATTTTATTTTAAATATAAGTGTGTTCTTTTCACTGTTTCTCTTAACTCTACTGACGTAATATCGAACAAAATTTAAAAAGAGCGCAAACATATCTTTCTGAATGGGAAAAAATACTGGAAAAAAAAGGAAAGATTTTCTAAAAGATATGATTATCTGTAATGACATATTGACTTCTTCTATTCATCATTATATTCGGATTATTATATATATTTTGAAGAATGAACAATTGTACAACGACTTAAGAAATACTCCATACTATAATAAATAAAAAAAACGAAGAGGTGGTTTTCGACTTGAATAAATATGAAGAAAATGAGCACGATTTGTTTTTAAAGAAAAACGTAAATAACGAAGTATTTATTTACTTGGATGGTTGTTGTTATAAACATTTGTTTTAAAATTTACTATTCAATCATATCATTAGTATCGTTGCATGAAGTTTTGGTTGGTATATTGTATATAAAGATATCAATGGCGTCCATCCTTCCTGAAAACTTGGAAAGAATAAATATAGCTTAGGAGGAAGAAGAAAGAGAGAGAAAAAAATTTTTAAAAGAAGTTGTGTTAGAAAATTAAGTTACTTTATGTTCATTAATTCATGGATATATTGATTTGTTAAACGATTTGTTAGTTTCGTCTGATTTATATAATGATTTAAAAAAATGGAATGGAGAGGAATTAAAATTCTCTAATATTATTGGAAGTTACTCTCAAATGTATGTGAATATACTCAAGAAAAATGAAAAAAATCAAATTTATCTACCTTTTCGTTTTTCTGATTCCACGTATAAAGATCAACGAACATATGAAGACATGAACAAAAATGGATGGGAAATTTTTACTTATAGACAGTGTTTTAACCAACGAATATTTTTATAGAATTTACCATAAAAATGATGAACAATATGATTATTTTAAAATATGTATGCAATCTATAGACGATACTGGTATATATAAAGAGAGCGCCTGGATTTGTAAACAAAAAAGACATGGTTTAAATACAGTGAAGGAATTATTAGAGACGATAAAAATATTTTAAATATGGATGATGGAGAGAGTTTTGTACGGGATATAAAATAGATTTTTTGATTTATCCTTGTGAGATCTAATCAATACATTTTGAGAATATTTTAAAGCTCTTTGAAGAAAGAGAAAAATAAAAAATTATAGTCGAAATATCG